AATTTTTTGTGGACATTATGTGGTCCGAAAAGCCCCGAGGAAAACTTAGCTTCGAGGAACAGATATTGTACCAGTATAAATATCCTTGCATATTTTCAAGCTAAGTGGAGGCTTTGTGCTTATTATCCTTCAAATATTATTCGTAGCGTGTGGAATGAAACGTATGTAATCAGCTTACTGTCGAAAACAGATGTTGACTTTTATAGCAACTTTATAACCACCACTTTATTTTCTTCTTTGGAAACTGCACCAACTCTCTCTCCAAACTTGATTCCACCTTTAGAGGAAGACTGTAATCGCATTGGACGTAAGGTTTGACAATTGGAGAAATATCACCGGATATTGGCCAGGTTTTTGGTTAAGCGTTTCAAACCAATCGCCCACGAGCGGAAATATTTGATGGATAATAAAAGAATTGATCATGATTATAATGATGATGAACTGAACCAATGATTGGATGAGTCACTGATTTGCTCACCAACTGATTGACTTTTTAAAATGACCCACTTTGTGTCTGTCTGACCGATCAACGTCTGCCTGGTTAAGGGATTGTGATTGGCTGCCGCTAATAGAATGGTCACGTGGGTTACCAGCAAACTGACTGGTTGTTTCGCTGATTGGCTTACTATGTGACCTACTGACTGAGTGATTTACTTACCGACCAACTGACTGACTGTGTGACGTACTGACTAACTGTGTGACGTACTGACTAACTGTGTGACGTACTGACTAAGTGTGTGACATACTGACTAAGTGATTTACCTACCGACCAACTGACTCACTGACTGTGTGACGTACTGAGTGATTTACTTACCGACCAACTGACTGACTGACTGACTGACTGAGACTGACTGACTCTTAAACATACTTTAGGCAAGACTACAAACACCACTCTGACTTAACAACAGAAAGATATCATTTGCATAATAGAACCTTACATAAGAAAAGATCTACCAAAATTGAAAATGTAATGCCAGAGATAGACGTATTTAAAACGCAGATTAGTCTGTATTTGATTTGCTTATTATTATGTTATTTATTAGAATTATTTGTTGAGATCATTATATATCATTATTATTTCATTATTTTGTTCTATATTTTTTCTTTAAATCCAAGTGGTCTTGAAGTAGACTAGATTGTTAACCTCTTTTATGACGACCAACCTCAAAACCACTTTGGTGTGGCCTGGTTACGTCTGATGAAGTGCAGAAAAAGAGCCCGCAATCTAGTTATGTCAAAGTAAAGAATCCAGAAGTGTCAACGCTTTTGTCATGGAGATAAGAATAAAGGCAGAGAATTAGACCCTCTTTCTGTTATTTTTTATATGTTATTAGACAGTTTTTGTTAAAGAACAGCCTGAGACTGTGGGGAGCAAAAAGGCTGACCCACAATCCAGTTCGCACCATCCTGGTTTACCGCCCATGTTTGGAAGAGAGACAACACAAAAATTTGAATTCGTTTCTTGAATTGTTTAGAATATAATTTTGTGATTTTCTGTTCCAGCAGCAGAAAATACACAAAGGAGTAAACGGATTCTTTTCGAATTTCCCAACATGTCACATTACTCAGAGGGATAGTCCAACGAACTGAATAAGACTGAATGAAACGCATATCGTCCACAAAAAATTAGAATGAAAGAGAATATTTGGGTGGCAACTTGGTAGCTTGTTGGCTTGGTAATTGATGTAATAACAAGGAATTTTTGTCTAATTAGCTCTTTGTTGTTCAGCGTTATGCAATTTGGTCTGGCGTCAATGTCATGAGAAAAATTATCACAACAATTCTTTCGGCGCCTTTCCAAGTTTCTAAGAAAGTTACGTTAACATTGCAGTTTCAAAATGGTTTTGCGAAATGTTATTGTCAAAAATACTTCTTCATTTCATTTTCTCCATCGTTTTCAAAAGGCTTCAACGGAACGGGTGGTCTTTTGGATGTCTTTGAGATGCACGTTTTGAATACCAGTGGCTCGAAGGGTTTAGGAGTGTTAAATAAATCCTCTGGGTTATAAATATGACAATAAAAAGCTTTTAGAAGTCATTTTAGCCATTCTCTTTCTAACAGCAGGCGTGGACTAATTAGCACTAAGAGACGAGGCCACCCGGATCGTTGTTGCCATAAGTATGAATAATTATAAGATTGGCACCGTAGGAGGCTAGTTTCATATCTATAATTTATGCCCACTTTGTTGTCCGTAATTTATGCCAGTTGATGGACGGTTGTCATCATCGCCAGGTAATTTAGTGTTAACAACTGAGTTGAAAACGTAAATTGGCCACCGTAAAGGGTAAAAGCTTTTTTACCCTTTACGGTGTCAATTTATGTTTTCAACTCAGTTGTTAACACTAAATTACCTGCTATAATCCCACCGACGCAGCACTACAGTTTCTTTACAAACTTACCTCCTATATTCATTTGTTATTATTGCCAGTTACGCGGCCTAAAATTCAGCAAGGGTCAGATCTGCTCAACAAGGAGTTAACTTCTCTTTTAATTATCAAAAAGTTTGCAGTAAACAAATCACGAGAATCATGAAGCAACTTCTAAGTTCTGATGGGGGGAAATTGCTTATTAAGTGCGACCTTTGGGATCCGCGCTTGTCCTCTCCATCCTGAGCCACTCCAACTCCTTCCTTTTTGATCACGTCTTCCCGTATTGGTGTTAGTTCCCTAACATACGGTACTTCCCCTAACATAAGGTAAGTTGATGAGAAATGTTCGGCAGACGGTGTTGAGGATCGATTTTTTAGATCTTGGAGTGAAGGCTTAAGTCAGTTGAGGATAAGTGGCACTGCAAACCCTCCATTTCTTTCAAATTTAGTGGCTGTGGTTTTCCTCCTTTTCTTTAATTTAAGTAGATGTTTGGACGATCTCCAATTAATTTAAACAGATTTCTGGAAGATCTACTAGGTCTTCGATCAAAAAAATTGCATTCACTTCCCAATCGTTTAGTGTGATCGCCTAGGCAACTCTAGTCTCTAAAAGAGCGGTTGTCACAAAAACTTACAAACGTTTCCGACCACTTGTGCGGAAACCACGTCATCAGACAAACTCTTTCGCCAAATCCAAGCTCCTTATGCTTCACTGAGATTTACTCCCGCCTAAGCAATTGAATGTGGATAATTTTTGGTCACTATACCACGCAATACAACCGATTTATACGAGGACTCAGTAAGTAAAGTTAAAATACCACACAGGCTACCAAGGTTATATTGTCTAATTCTGTGCATAATCCCTTTCGTTTATGACTTTCCCCTTTCATGGAGTTAATTCCCCGGAATATGCTCTGAATAAAAAAAGGGGAAGTACAAAGCAATATTCTGCTGGGCATCAGAAGGTTACCATGACTGTTTCCAAGATACGATTTCAGAGAAACTACATTTGCCAATCGACATCTTTAGGATATTCGTAGTTACTGCTTTTATTAATTAAAGTAATGCGTTTTTTTCTTTGCTAATTTTTATAACAATTTTTTTCGCATAAAAGCGAAGGTTAGTTTCTTCCACTCATTGAATTATTGAACGGTACGTCCTTTGGAGAACAACCAAAGAAGGGGAAAAAAGGATGGGAAAGAAAAGGCGAAAGCAAATACGGCCTTATTTTGAAAACTAAGTACTTTTAACATTCCGTGCATTTACGCTCTTGTAAAATATGCCAATACAAGAGCTTCTCATTTATCAAACACAATTTTTTAAGTACATGTTAAGTTTGGTGACATGCAAACGTTTAGTTGCAATATCAGTTACGGTTTGGGCATCTCGCAAACTTGGTATGAAGATTAAAGTAAACTTTGCTATTCGCAATCCGCGCCAACCACCTTCCAGTCCCTTACTGTTTTATCTTTGCCTCTTTTGTGTTTTTCTATCTTATCAAACTATTATTCTAAAATTACTTTCAATCCGACTCAATCGCCTCCATCCTAAGCCACCCCAGCTGTTCCTCAATAAGTTATTCACAGTTTCTATTCGATGTTGGACCAAACTAGCAAACAAAGTAAATTTCAAGTTTTACTTCTGTTTTAAAAACAATTTTCATCGATCCTAAAGTATGACTTTAAACAATGATGAAATTATCAATTTCTTGAAAGGGAAAGTGCCGCACCTAAAACTGAAAAAAAAACCAATAATAATTGCATACGTGCAAAATATTCGCTTCTGACAAAAACTCTCACTATCAAATTAAAAAACCTCCTTGGCGATTCGTTTGCGTTTGCATTTTGGTTCCAATTAATGGTGGCACAATTTATCCCAAGTTATTATCCCATCAAGAAAAAAGCGTTTGAGCTTTTTGTTTGAAGCGCATTTAAATTCAATTTGCGGGATAGTTTTCCTTGGCAACTCGATCATCAGGAGTTTGTTCTCAACAGAGTTTGTCACTCAAGTTAAATTGCGAAGCTTTATCGTAGCCGACTTGAACTACGGACATTGACAAAGAGACACTTTGAACCGAAAGCTGTCATACTGCATGAATTAAACCGCGACAAGAATGAATGGTTGTCGACACCAGCTGTTCATGTTTGGAGATGTCGAAATGAAATGAATAATACAGAGATCAACGCGTGGACCTACAGAAAATATAATTCAAAGTTGGAAAACGAGCGACGCAAAATCTACAGGATCTTAAGTACTGCCACAGCCGTTTCTCGGCCATTTCACGAACTCTCAGCGTCAAGC